AGGAATGCCCTTCTATTTAATATACTCAATTGGCAGAACTACTAATTCTATTACAATTTCAGGATTGTTCATTGATTTTCAATCATGTTACCTTCATTGCTCAAATCAACAAGGCTTAGTATCACCCAGCAACTATTTCTTAACAATTTACTCTCATACTTTGAAGAGAATTTGCAATATTGCAATGTCAGTGAAAAAGATCAGCAGGTCTCTTCTTCCTTTCACCTCAAAGGGACTTAATAAAGAAACACCAAGATGTGCCATATCATGGCTGATGGCATTTGAAGGGTGGCCATGGACTGCTGTGTTTCATAATCAAGTGGTCAACTTTGCTACCAGGTAAGGAGATCTCAGGTCTAATGACAAAACTGCTGAGAAGTGATTTTGTAAAACCACGGTCAGAGTCACTCATTTTCCACTAGAAACTACTGCCTTAAGGTACCTGACTCTGTGGTTTTATATACTCCATCATCAAGCTCCAAGATGGGAACAATTTAAATGACTATACAGTAGCTGTAGAATAAAATGAAATCTGTGTTTGCAGCTTGCTATGTGTCTACAGATCCATATGGGGATGGTTTAAATAGTTACATTCACTAGCATATAGTTTCCATCTTTCTGGTTTTTTATGGGTCTTACTAGAGAGATTTATTTTACTTCTGTCTTTACTATCAGCTGCCAAGTATTAACCAGAGCTGAGTCATCATCTTGGAAGGAAATCAGGCAGGACAGAAAACCCTCAAGCCTACTTGTTTTTCATAGCTTTAAAAGCTGGAGATTGTTCAAGTGTAATCTGAGAGGAAATGCCTCGAGGCAATTGGAGAGACAAAAAAAAAATGGGGACTTTTAGCAAAGAAATGGCTTTAAACACCACTTCTGCACTGATGTGTGGGCTTCCTTGTCCTCTGTTTCTTTTACTTGAGAAGAAAAAAAAAGAAGCGATGTAAGATGCACACCACATAAGAGCTATTTAATCAGTAGGTTACCAAAACGACAAGGGTTGTTTTATTAAACTGAGTTTGCAAATTCTGAATAAAAGCATTTATTAGGTTTTAATCTTCTATTCTGCCCATCCCTGTCAGGGTCAGAGCTCCTCCTGACTTCAGGAGTCACCTGGTCAAGGGGAGGGAGAGCGAAGGGAATGATCTGCTGGGGGAGATGACTGGCAGCTGCCAGAGCCACTCCCATTTAAGGGACAGTGCCCAAGCAAATCAGGGGAATAAGACTGAGAGTCAGGAGCTCCCAATCCTGTCTGTACCTCAGAAAATCAAATTGGTCTGAGTCAATGCCATCAGGCACAGCAGGCTAAAGATAGTAATTTTGGTCCACTTTGACAGAATGTTAGGAAGGCCCTGCACCCAGTGCTTGTCTCACCTATGATTTGCTTGCCACTAGTAACATTTTTAGAACAAAATGACTTAGGAAATGAGCTCCATTAAAAGCCTACATGACTCATTTAGAATGGACACTCAGGTCAGCATTCCCAATGACTGCCTCAAGGATCAAGCTTCCTACAAACAGGGCATTTCTCAGTTTTTTTGCCTCCTACCATGTTAGTCTGCATGTGAATGATCCACGTATTTTAGCTGCAGGGCTGAAAACACAACGGATTTATATTGTAAAAAGTAGCTCAGAGCTCCTAGACACTGAATCAATGTTCTACAGGAAAATTAGTTTAACTTGAAATTACAGCAAGGTGTCTTTTCAAGAGTGATTAATTAGGAAACTGTTTATTTTCACCTACAAAAATGTGTTTCATTTCCATGCCTGCTCTCTTAGAATTCTCCTGCTCCTTCCACTTTTACACTTTTTATTTCTTCTCCCTTGTCTTACATAATTCATTGCACAGGTAAAGCATTGCATGCAACTGCCTTGTGATAACAGCAAACTGCAGAATTCATTTTTATTGTCCTTGCTACAAATTAATCCATTCCAAGTAAGCACATTTTCCCTTAAACTTGCAGAGATTTCAGCTCCAAACTGTGAATATATGGATAATCTTTTGCTATTTCCCTTGGTGAATATATATCATTGCTAGCCATTACTGCGTGTGCAGCCAAGGTAATATAAAAATGCTATTATCTTAAGCAAAGTAGAAAAAAAGAGGCATTCAAACAAGTAAGAGATGAGGTAGATAGCCTACTACTGCATATTGAGTAGTAGCTTACTCGTGAGCAGACTGATTCATTACAATAAAACTGCTCAGGTGATAAAGCACAGGATGAGCACAGATGGTGGTATCAAACCCCAAAGACATTGCTGCTCTAGGACCTACATACTCCAGGGCTTCATAATAATTGCTAGATTAAGCATTAACTTGAGATGTTTCAATCTTTCAATTTATGATTTAGAAGGAGTTTGCAGCATTCTATGTTTTGTCTTGAAAAGCCATATTAAAAAAAAATAAATCCTGTGTTGAAATATCTCTCTGTTAGTGGAAAATTTCTCCTTTTGGACCCTTATAATTGGGTGAAGGATTGCATGCTTTAAAAAACTGTTCTCAAGAAATACAATATTCTGATTTATGCTGATGTTTTTCAGAGTGCAAGGACCAAGGAAAAGGATGCCCTACACTCAGCAGCCTCTTGATTTGCAAACTACTAGTTTTCATAGTTGATTACAATTTTATGTGATTCTTTATCCTCAGCAACTCTTTTTCCTCTTGAAAGTGATAAATGGCTTTTCCTCCCTACAGTTAGTGTTTGCTGTACACATTTCTCAAGCAATATCCACGGGTTGGAGAGAACAACTTTCCTGCCGTGCTTGCCTTCCCCTGATCAAAGATACCAGCACCCAGGGTGAATTTTTCATCCTTAAACTTTGTGCTGCCTTTTAGCATGTTCTTTCCTTCCAAAGACATTAAGGTTCAGCTGTATAAATACACTGACTTAAACTCTACCACTGCTGTGAATTGTGAGATTGATGAGCTCAACCAAAACCCACCACACCAAATGTCACATGAAGGCTGCATTTCACATGTGTACTTGATGCTTTTTGCCCAGGATACATGAGCCAGTGGTTTGGGGCATTCCTAGAATCCCAGACTGGTTTAGGCTGGAAGAGACATTAAAGAATATCTAGATCCATTCCTCTGCCATGGGCAGGGACATCTCCCACTACATCAGGTTGCTCCAAGTTGCATCCAACCTGACCTTGAGCACTCATCTGGTGGACAAGCCCCTGCCCATGTTCCAGCAGGATTTTACTGTAATGAAGTGAATTTATTTCCTTGAGGAAGAAAAGAAAGCCATGACAATATACTAGGGTGAAATCAAAGCTTTCTATGGGAAATCTGATAAATTTGATTAGTCTGTAATACGTTCAATTAGAGCTCTGGATCTCAGATACTTGATTTTTCCAAAACTGGTCTCTAAGCTTTCTATTTAAGTTTATATTTCCTAATTTCCTATATCACCTAATCAATGAGCAGTTATATACCAGTGATGCATTTTAGAAAGAGACAAAAGAGAAAGCAGGATAAAGATAACATATTGGATAAAAGCACATGAAGGGAGTGCATATAACTAGGCTCAGATTATTTTAAGGAGAAAAAGGCAATAAAAGGAAAATATTTTGTAAACTGGATTGATGGGTCTCAGTAAGTCAGGTCCCAGGGGGTAGAAAAAGGAGCAAAGGACACAGGAGGAGTTACTGTAGCTTCAAAAAACACTGAATGAACTAAAACACAGTCTAAAAGTTGGGACCTGCCATCAAAGACACAGGGAGCCTGGGGACAGTTGGGAATAAACTCTAATACTTCCAGTAGCGTCTCCTTTCTCTCTTTCCTGAGAGAGAAACATGGAGTTTTCTTTATCAAAAAGAAAAAAAATTACAAAAAACACATTCTGATTTCTTTCACAGAGTAAAAAACCCTGGGTTTTTGATGTTACAAGTGTATCAGTCCCTCCCTGGAGGAGATAGGCGAGTAGATACAGCCGAGCGCTGGCTGACTTGGTTCTGTCACATTCTCTTACTGTCTCAGCCCAACACAGAAAAGGAACAAAAAACTCCCATGTTGAAGATGGAGTTTTCAGTTTGATACAGACAGACAGAGAAAATCCCCAGTGCTGCACAGAGCCCATCAACTATACTTAGATTCTCAGCATCTTCACTCAATTCAGCTTGGCTCAGTTTCTTCCCTCTACTCCTGTCAAAACAAATTCCTCAATTTGTCCTTTAAGTTACTGAAAAAAAGAGAAGGATTTTCTGAGCAGGGCTCTGCCTTGGGAGCCTCACCATGTATCTGAAGGTAAGCAACATTGTCCTGTCATCAGTGCTGTTGCCCCAACATCAGCTGCTGGAGGAACCCATGATGCAGGCAGAAAAGGAGAGAATTTAGTGACATGGGCAGCCAGGCACCCACCTCAAATCTAATTTAATTACTGCATTTAGCTAGCAGGACTGGAAAAGGGCATGCAATGTTTTCAGCAAGCCTGGTTTGATACCAAAATGCATGGCATTTTTTGTAGTATTTAGTAACTATATAACAACCTTAAAATCCAGCATGGATAGTATTGGGGTTTTTTCATATAACAGTGTTCTTGTATTAATACAAAAACCCACATGCAGCTGATGGTGTGAAACTTCCATTTAAAAAGAAAATGGGATCTCTCAACAAGAAGTTAAACCTAAGTGTCAGGCATGAGTGTGAAACAAATCAACTCCTCCCCATGGTCTATCCACCTTTCCTCTCATTCTGGTTTTAGTTTCAAAGCCTTTGGGCCTTATATTCTCAGTGATGATAAAGTCTACATTGTTGTCTGCCAACTAAACTCCATCCAGGCTTCATAATAGATCACATAATATACACAGGATTAAGTTAACTCGCTTTTCTTTCAACTGCCATTCATCAAACAAATAGCACTTTGAGGAAGGAAACCTATTTTCCCAGCTGCAACATGCACAGTCTAGTTATCCACATTGTCGAGACTTTACAGTTTACTACCTCAAAAGATGACAAATCATTATGTAGAAACATTAAGTCAGGTTTCATTCAAATCATTTGGAAGCTTTGTGCTCTCCTCCAGGTACTCACTGTGGGTGGGGAGCACTTACACCCATCCAGAAGACCTGAGCTGCAGTCAAACCCAAACCCCACAACCACCACGGTGCCTCTTCAACTGCATAAACATCCCTTTTTTACTGTTTCTCCTCGTGTCAGCCCCTCTCTATTAACCTGTTTGTACCTGTCTGCTCTTACCATTTGACAGGTCTCCTTCGTAGAGGTCTGTACATGTACAGAGAAAGAACTACATGTTAATTTTGCTTATAATATATCCCTGTAATAAAGTTACTGAATTTACCTATAAAACTCTCGTACCAGAGCACATCAAACCTACCCACAGTGAGCAGCAGGTTACCCTGTCTCCTGTTCTGCAGGTACTGTTGGTTGTATTGTCACGTGCAAATAGGAAGTTGGACAATGATTTTGCAGCTGGGGAGGTGGATATTCCACAGCTGGTCTCTCAATGAAAAGCCAGTTTAAGTTAATGCAATTTTAAGCTAAATCTGACTGAGTTTGAGGTCAGAAGAAAGATAGCAAACACCTGAATATAAGCTCCACCAAGCACAAATATGGTCCAGGGGATGGAGGTGAACAAGGAACATGGCCCCTGTGATTCTCTCCCCCATAAAATGCTTTGCCCTCATTTTGCAACCCAGTGGGCCAGATCTTGAGCCAATGTAAATAGCTCGCAGCCAACCAAGCTGACTACAGCCAGGTAATAATCTGATACATAGCTGGGAATTACCTGGTTTTGGAACCACTGTGCTGTATTTATTTAAATGTCCTGGGTTATTTCACACAACAGAAATTATTTTCTGGCAGAAGAAATTATTGAAGCAACACTTCTGCTGACAGAAGTAGTCATTAGCCTAAGAGATGCTTTGAAACACTGTTCTTAACTCTATGGGAAGGTTACTGACAGCTTGTTTTACCATTAGGATATGTGCTGAAGCCCAGGTAATTATACACCCCCCTCCCTTGGTACCTCTCTTTTTGATTGCCCATGTGATAGCACGAGCGAGCAAACCCGGCGCGAGCTGCATTCGCTCTCCTCCACAGGCAGTTTGGTGAGCAAATGAGATTAACACACAACTTTGCTTACAGGAATGTTTTCATGGATTGTCATATATGCCATTTACTAACCATTCACCTGAAGGATGTGGGTCTGATACAGCTCCTCGTAGCCGTAGGCGTGACAGGTGTAATTGCCCATGTGAATAGTTGTTACCTTGGTGATGTAGAGGGAATCGTCTTCTCCAAAATCCTGCGTGTGACAAAAGACAGGAAAGGTGCCTTACTATTACTATAAGAACACTTTAAAACAGCATGTGAAGGGAGGCTACCTGTGCAGTGGTGTTGATAGCAGCACAGCTTGGGAACACAGCTTGAATTTTGAACAGGAGCTTTTAAAGTTCATAAATCAACACGCAGGGAGAAAATGAGCAGCAATTTAAGAGCAAGGCAAAGTAACTCATCTGAGAACATGAACTTTTGTGCCGGTTGCTAACAAGGTGTTTTTTGCACATAAAAAGATGGCAATCTCCAGCTGTTTAATTTATGGGGGAATTTAATATCTACCCGTTAACCTCAGATGTTTAAAATGTTAACTTTGGGGGGGTTAAGGTTTCCTTCATCTATGCTGGTTCTTAGAAAATGTTCTGTAACCTTGAGACTTGATGAGAAAGAACCAAAATAGTTTGTCACTTATCTCAGACAATATCCTAGGCAGGAGACAAGGAAGAAGACAAAAAGCATTTTCTCAAAGAAACTTGCTTTCATCTGTAACTGCTTGACAAGGATCTTTCTTTATCCCTTTCATCCTCCTAGATCTGTTCTTGCATTACTTCAGTTTTTGATTATAGATAGGGAGAATATGAGTTAGTAGAGAGGCTTTGCCACTTGAATATTTTGTGTAAGTGCCCTGCTTAGGAATTGATTTCAAATTATAGTTGCAGAACCACAGCACTGATGGGTAATTGAATCAGCTTCTCTTGTTACTCCATTAACATTGAGGCTTTCTGCAACTCCAGAATTTTGTACTGCTATGTAAACCCAGATGAATACATTTAAAAAACAGTTAATGAGCTTAGAGAATGATTTTTCTTATTTCCATGCTAAACTAAATACTTTGCAGAGTTTCACTGTAAAGGTACAGCAAAATTCAACTTAGAGCTTGGGTGGCAGAAACCTGGTACAACAGGGCAAATGCGGAAGAGCAGTTTTGCTCCTGAAAACCCAAGAATTGCTTTTCAAAATTCCACCGTGTAGATGGAAAAGCAGCCTGTAGCCAAGGGGCATGTGGGGATAAACCTTGCACAGTGTCCTGCCCTCCTGCCACCCTTGTCCAGCAGAGCCACCAGGAGTGACATGGAAGCATAGCACTGGAGTGGGGGAGAAGGTGAAAACTCACACCCAGGGTCTTCCAGCATGGCTTGATCAAACTTACCAGCATGGATAGCATAAAATAGGAATGTAAATGTGCTCTGCTGGTTGGGAGTCAAGAACTTGAGTCTCCCAATGTTTGCAATGAAGAAAGGGAATGTGTGCTCAGAGGTGCTGATGCTGCTCCATTCCCTGCCATGCCCACAGCAGGTCCCACACTAGAAGGGACCATCCTCATCTGTGCTGTTACTGCCAAACCCCCGGCCAAGGGCTGACAAGTTATGAGCAAGAGCTGTTAGATCATCAGATCTGCTGTCTAAACCAAAACCATTTGGGGCTCCTTGTGTTGCACTTTTTCTGCCTTGTCACGGAGCAACTGGCTTTACAGTTTGGTATTTTCCTTTTCAGCCCTCACATTTTAAACATTTTTTTAAGGAAGCTTCAATCCTGATGCAGACTTGCAACGCCAGCTGGCACCCTTAGAGAAAAGCACAGAGTAGCCCATCTCTTGCAGTATGGGACTGATCTGGCACTGCTTCTGCTGGCTTTTGAGTCTTCTCCAATAACTTCTGTGTGGCACCAGAGAAATGTCTTCTTGTCCCTCCTCTCAGTCATAGGACAGCACCAGCAGGGGGAACAAAGTTTGGGAACTTGCTTAATTTTTAGACATGTTATAAGGGAAAGTGAGAGTGAGCACTGAGGAATGCAGAGTTTAGAAGCAGAACAACAACCTTTCCCAAAGCACAGACCATGACTGGAAAGGGGACAGACATGATTGCCCTGGTTCTACTACCTGCTACCCTGAGGCATCTGCCGTCCCAGTGTGCAAATGTGTGAACAGTTAGAAAGAATAAGAGTAAATCAATACATATTCCTGACAATCACGGCCTATAATCAAAACCACCTCAGATACTGCTGGGTGGCAGGCAGATTTGGCATCCTCACCGTGGGATAAACTGGCTAAGCTATCAAAAAATGTTATTGCAAATACCTACTCAAAAATTCCCATTTCAAGCATCTGCCTGTTTTCTGGTCAGCGAGATCTTTCCTGACGCAGAGCAAAGACGGATGAGTAACTGCAAATGGAAAAGATATCAACCCTGTGCAAATGATATTTGTGAGATAGAGAAAATGCCTGCAGTGGAGGGGACTTAACAACAGTTTTTAAAGTTAATCCCAAAGCAACTCCAACTGAGTTAGATCAATAAAATCAGGGTGGCTACTTCTACAGAACGGTTTATAAGGAACAGTGGGAAAACAAGACAATAAAATCATCACTGTTCTAAGTATGTTGCTTTGCTTAAGATGTCTCAGAAAAATATTATGAATGCTTGGTTTGTGCTCTGTAATTTTCTTTTTATGGACAATCTGTTTTTTTCCAATGCATACAAATGTATTAATATAAGTAAAGACCCTTGAAAAAAAACAATCTGCAGGATTGCAGCATTATTCTCTTCCTCTCCAAATGCACTTTTCTTGTAAAGAGAAGCCTATCTTGGTAAAAGGATGGTATATGACTTTTAAAAACTAGTTTCTGACTTCTAGCACTTAAGGAGGATTACCAAAGATGATTCAGGTTAACACCATATCATTTATGTCAGGCATAGGAAGAAATGATCTGCCCTGCATTGGAACTTGCACACATGCAGTAAATCCCTTTAAGGGCACACCAGCAGCAAGAAGGGCCAGTAGCAGATGTGGAAAGGAAAAAAGACTATGATGAAATTTAGGTTCAATACTGAAACTTTTGTTGTTACAAAAAGAATTCAGAATTCTCTAACAAGGTAATGTCTCTTCCTGTGTGTTTATTTATTACAGCTCATGGCTCCTCCTTGTGTTTCCCTGTAGATATAATCACTATATTCAGAGGTCCCTTCCAGCCTTGATGATTCTATGATTCTGTGATTTCACAATTACATTTTATACATGAGCACACGTTCTTATGCACAAGCACTTTCTGACTATAATTTAGAAAGGTGTATTTGGAAGTGTTGTAAAAAGCGAAGCCCTAGAGCATTAGGAAATGATGAGTCTTTGATTCCTCAATAGCTTCTAACTCTACATCTTACTACCCATGGCAGACCTGGCTCCCTCTGTTGGTACTGCCTTTGGGTGCTCCCAGCAGCTGCTCTAGTGCATCTCTTTTCACCTCCACTGGACTAAGCAGGGTGTAAGTTTGCCCTGGCAGCCAGTGAGGACATCTTGCCTCTCAAAAAAGGCACATGGGAGCTGTTTGAACAAAAGTTCTCAAAACCTGGTTAGCACAAAACATGTTTAGAGACTCAGGTTCTGAGCTCCATCCCCCCATCCAAACATGAACACATAACCTTGCTGGGAGAAGGTTAGAGAAGAAGAGAACATAAATGGCAGGGAAGAGGAGGGGGTGGGCAGAGGGAACAGCAAGAATTCATGCTGGAAAAAGGCAGAGCAAACATTTCTTCTGTGCTTTGACTTTTTTTCAGAAGGCTTTTTTCCATGTCACCACAAGCCTGAAAGCAGCCAGAGGGAACTATGAACATCTATGAAGATGATGTGATGTAATTCTTCTCTCCCTAAAAGTCTCCTACCCATAAAGCTGAGTGTCTCAGGGCTGTCCAGGAGTAAGGCAGCGAGTGCTGCACATCCCCCAGGAGATGGGACCCCCAGCAATGTGCAACTGTGAGCTGAAAAGGTTTTTTTGTATATCAGCCCATAACAAGGGACAGGCAACCAGGAGAAAGGCAGAAAACTTGTGGGACATGGTTTTCCTCCTTGGCCACTGAAGGGAAATTTTCTTGTGAAGAGGGCAAAACAGAAGTGATGAAAAAATGTGACCAAGAGGCAGAAACCCTTGGAACACCCACAGACTTGGGGGAGGTTGGACAAGATGACTTTTAAAAGTCCCATCTGACCCAAACCATTCTATGAAACTGATGAGCCTTGCATCAAAGCAGTCAGATAAGGATAAGTTGTTCATCACCTCTATTTTATGAATTTCATTATAAAATAACATTACACGTTCTGCTAAAAAAAAATAATCACCAAGCTGTGCTTATAATTGATAAGGTCGACCAGTGGCAGATGATAAATTGACTTCTCCAGCAGTTTGTCTCATGTTTCCTTTCCTTCTTTGGAACAAAAAGTTCTCTGCCCTTCATGAGCTTCTTTTATGTCTCCCAGCTACCCTTCAAATAAAGGACTGATTAAGTGGTCTCAGAATAGGTTTTAGCTTTTCAGCATTAAAAAAAAGTAAATTGCACCATCCTGCATTTTAAATTGATAGCAGCTCAGTAATCTGAAAAAACCCAAACAACAAAAGAAGTAGCTACTGCACACAGTCAATTTGATAAAATAACAAAGCAGATATTAGCAACCAGGTATGTGCTTTTGTTTGTTTGTTTGTATTGTGTTTCCTTTCCATCAGCACTGATTACCAAAGGCATCGGTCTCTCCAAAGAAAAGATTTTTCATATTTATTTATCCTACTCCTCCCCTCTAATGCATTCCCTGGCCATGCAATCTGCCACGGCTCGGAGACACCACGCTTAGAAATGTGTGAAACGTTGCATATTGCTGTAAATCTCCTTCACATTCTGTCTCAAGTGAAATCCACTGTGTGACAGTAATGCCACAAATCTCCTGCTCTGACACCCAGGGAGGCAGCTGGGGGAGAAGGAGCCACACTGGCCAATGCCCAGGGATGCAGACACTGCCCACCCACCTTTTTTCCCATTCTTGGGGTTGTTTCAACACAGAATGGAAACATATTTAAAAGCCTTTACATTTTTTGGCAAAGTTTCTTGTTTTCCAGGAGATTTGATTTCCAGGAAATTCAGGCTTACTATTTTTGCAGGATAACTTCCAGTTATTTGTGGGGAGAAGACTGGCCTCAGGGGTAAAAAT